TTAAGTGTCCTACAGTTGTAATTATATTACACCATTTCGAAAACCGCGTATATGCATTTCCGTAGATTTTGTCATGAGAAATCCGAATCTGTTGACTAAATTAACGAGTATCATCGCGTTTCAAACTTATTTCCATCTGAAAATGTCAAAAATGGCCTTTTTTGCACTTTTAAATTAGAATATCTCAAAATCCTGACGTGCTAGACAAATTCTGCGGCCAGATTTGGATTCAGCGCAAAAAATTACATAGAGAACCACCCTTAGATCTCGGTGGGGAAAATCTTGTAGGCCTGTGTAATCTATCGAACGTCTTTAAGTTGTCATACGCGTTGTCTGGGTTCTTTGTTACGAATATACGATTTCTAATAATCTGTATATATATTTATAGAATATTCCGAAATTAAGAATATTTGCACTCCAGAAGAATATTCATGGAACTACGTGTGCTAACTGGGCAGCAGCAGGGATGCAACTCTGTGATCGTTCCTAAAAAAGAAAAAAAAAAGATATTTCCAGGACAACAATCAATTATTCACGTTTCCGTCGTTCGTCCGAAGCGGCAGGGCGACGAAAAGAAGAGGTACAGACGTGACTCAGCTGACGTAAGATAAATCTGACAGATTCGCGTTGACGTTTCTCGCGCGGGGCGGACGTGAAAGGCGAAGGGAAGGGGGCGGGGGGGAGGGGCGATCGCGAGATCGGCGCCGACACTGCTGACAGATAATAGATCGCTTCCGCTTCTACGATACGGGCCGACCATCTGTGCCGCCCGCGCCGCCTTGTCGCGTCATTATCGGCCCTTTGTTTCCAAACAATGCGACGCCGCCTGGCCGGAGCGAGAGCAGCGCGCTCGTAATTACGTGAACGAGGGGGACCGAATGACGACGTGACGACGTCGTCGGGACGTGGCAGGGCCAGCGGGGATTACCTCGCTCCAGAGAATCGTTGATGCACAGCGGCTGATCGTCCCGGGAGACGCTCGGGTCCAGGACTTCCATGACGCCGTTCACACGGGCCGTCGTCCCGCAGTCTGCAGCGAACCCGCGCTTTCACGATGACTCACTGGCCGCGTCGCGGGCATAAGAAGTCGGGCGTTCTCGTTCCGCTCCCCCCCGGGCGCGTCCGCGCGGTAACAGGTCGTTACGGCCGCGTTACGCTCGCGGCTCCGATCTCCTGTCACTGCTGTCACTCGTCATCCGCGCGGAGTATACAGCGCGATATACGGGTTGGTGGGACGGAGCCCGGGCATGCGCACAGCGCGCGCGCAGCAGAAGGAGCGCGCGGCCACGCGCGGCCGAGGCGTAAACTTGCGAGATAATTTTTTTCAAAATGGCGGATGATAAAGCTCAAACATGCGAAATTGAAAAATATCGGTTCGAACTTACGACGATCCATGGCGAGAGGCATGTGTCGCAACTTAATGGGATGAAAGGCATGCGATAGTACAGAGTCTCCCCCTCAAAATGCTTTTTTACTCGTTTCGATGCGATGATTTTTCGCCGAGATACGTGCATTCGAGTGAAAAGGCCGGTTTTTACTTTAAATGCGCACATCTCAGCGAAACGTCACCGTATCGAAACGAGTAAAAAAGCATTTTGAAGGGGAGACTCTGTACTATCGCATGCTTTTTATCCCATTAAGTTGCGACACTTGCCTCTCGCCATGGATCGTCGCGAACTCGGACGAAAATTTGTCAATTTCGCGTGCTCTCGTTTTGTCATCCGCCATTTTGAAAAAAAATTATCTCGCAAAACTCTGACGTGTCGATTCTTAAAGCAGAGATTTCAAGCTTCAATTTCTTTTTTTTGGGGGAAACCTTTCTATCATTATTACTCGCGTAGTTATCGTCACTCGAAATTTGGTAATCTTTTGACAAATTTTAGGTGTACCGCTTTTTTTTGGACTGAGTGTAAAAATAATAACGACGGCTGCGGTGTCGACGCCACAGAAGCGTTCTTAAGCCCGTATCAGACTACGGATTGGGATTGGGATTAGATTGAAATTTAACCAATCACAGTAAAGTTTACTAATCTCAAGTTCAGTAAAGCCCGTATCAGACTACGGATTGGGATTGGGATTAGATTGAAATTTGACCAATCAGAGTAAAAGTTACTGAACTTGAGATTAGTAAACTTTACTGTGATTGGTTAAATTTCAATCTAATCCCAATCCCAATCCGTAGTCTGATACGGGCTTAACTTTTACTCCAGTTGGTCAAATTTCAATCCAATCTCAATCTCAATCCGTAGTCTGATACGGGCTTTAGGAGGAAGGTGACACCGGTACGGGAATTCTGTAACTTGCAATCGATGCTTTTCGGTATATTGTCAACTTGCGACAGCCAATGCCAAAGACGATCTTCGAAAAAGACGCAGAGTTTCATTGGTTGTTTCTAGTTAACGTTATCGAAAAACCTCGATAGCAAGTTACAGAATCCCCCGTACAGGGCTGCTTTCGCGAGAAGATCAAAATGATTCGGATTAAAATGACGTAGTGCTATGATTGGTCAAATCTGGAATTTCATTGAATTAAATTTCAATGTGATGCTATGAAATTTCAGATTTGACCAATCATAGCACAGGGTCATTTCAATCTCGATCATTTTGATCTCCTCGCGAAAGCAGCCCTGGATCATTTTGATCTTCTCGCGCGAAAGCAGCCGGTGAGTCACCAGGCAGTGAGCGCCCCCTTAACTAGTTAGCGCTAGTGTTGTTGTACGCAACGAACGTCTCTCGGATTTCTCGTCTCGTTCTCGTCGCGATCTCGTCGCGATCTCAGTTGTTCTATCGCGTAAAAACCTGAGGGAGATGAATCGCCATCCGAGCAGCGACAAGAGTCGCAGTGAACCGCTGGTCGAATTAGAGAGTCAATTTATTATGCGGTTGCCACTGGTACGTTTCTCGCACTGCGCGATCTTGTAGTTCGATTCGAACCTAACCTCCTTTCAGATCACGGATGAATTAAGAATCGAGGATGTAGAATCGACCTTTTTTTTTCAGGAACCCGCCAAAGTGCTGAGGGAAGCCTTACGCAGCAGCCTGCCGTTGAAAGACAGGCTGACTATAAAACTGGAGAACGATCTGCGTTACGGTGAGGTTAGGATTGACCACTGGTTGCTCCATGCCAAGGTAAACTTCGCCGTCTTATTATTCAATCTGAATTACTTGGATAAAAGTCGATCGCGAGGACGCGAACTTGTACATTCGACGAACTTTGTTCAACATCAAGAACGATTTGACGCCAGCAAATGACTAACAATGATCAAGCTTCTAATCGGCCATGACTGGCGTTGTGCTTACTTTAACACAGAAAATTGATTGCAAAAAGTATTACCTCAGCCAGGGTTTGAACCTGGACCTCCCTCCCTACATTCTAGGTGGGCGTCTCACCAATTCGTTTGCTTTGTTTAGGTTGTTGACCTGCCGACGATAGTGGAGTCCTTAAAGACCATTGATAACAAGAGTTTTTATAAAACTGCCGACATGTGCCAGGTAAAGATGCAAGAGCGAGGGGTAGACCGCTGACCAAAATCACGTACATCAATGCCTACCAATGCCCAGTGGGCATTACTTTATCTTAGTATCTTTTATTTTATCTTATTTTATTCTTATAATACCTAAAAATGCCTAGTAATGCTGCATATCTGTACACCTCAATGCCCTCAGCAGTTTACTCTCTGTGCAAGTGTCTCTGCATCATAGACAATGTTGTAGAAAAATAGAAAAGTTATGTTATATCACTTTCTCGTTCCTTCAGATGCTGATATGTAAAGAGGAGGACGATCACACCGCAACGGACGAGGAGTCTCCCGTCAAGCAGAAGAAGAAGGATCCAAACAAGGTTGACAAGAAGTTCCTTTGGCCCCATGGCATAACGCCGCCCACTAAGAACGTGAGACGCAGGAGATTTAGGAAAACCTTGAAGAAGAAGTACGTAGAGGCGCCTGAGATCGAGAAGGAGGTCAAACGTCTGTTGCGAGTGGACAACGACGCCGTTAACGTCAAGTGGGAAGTGATATGCGAGGATGAGGATACGTCGAAGCCCAGCAAGGTGTCGTCGTCCGGTACAGTCAAGACGAAACGGGACAGCATGAATGGAAACACGTCGCAAAGTCTGGACGTCGGTAAGCGTTGATTTAGATAATGTTTTAACGGAGAGATACAAGTGTTTCTTACCCTGTGGGTTTGCGTCTCAGCTGAACACGATATATTCGGCGAGCCCGTGAGCGACAGCGAGGACGATGACGAGGAGGCGAATATAAACGTGATGGAGCTGGACGAGAACAGTCGTTCGGCGGACAGTAGGGTCTCGGACTCCAATTCGATGCAGGCCGCGTACTCGAGGTCGAGTAACAACGCGACGACGAGCAGCGGGCTGGTCACCGAGTTCAGCAAGGATATGTTCCAAAACGATAACAACGACGATACCGAGGCCGAGAAGCAGCAGGGTGATGAGCCCACTCCACCAAAAGTCCCGAAATTGGAACAATTTCACTCGGAATATATGATTCCAGATAATTACACGGAATCGATAATCGCACCCACATCGGTATCCGCGTCCAAAGGTAAATTTTTAACGAGCGTTGTTTCCACCTGCGATGTCGACGCGAGTCCGTAACCTTTGTCCATCTTGAAACTGTCCAGATTCGCGTCTCGCTACACTCCACACGGAACTGGCGGAGTTACGGCAGAGACGGCAGCAACAGGAGATCGAAATAGCCAATATCGAAAACGTGAAACTGAGGCAACGCTTCCAGGAGATCTTGGATAATTTGTTGACGCAAGAAATGCAGAAAGTGCAAGAGGTATAATGAGAAATTATCCGCATATATGTCTCATTTCCATTTGCCAATTGTTTTGACCTGCAAATACATATATTCTTTTATATTTCAGATACAAGATCTGGAAATGGAATAGAAAGTGCAGTGCGAGTCTCACACGTTATATATAAAAAAGACAATTTAATATACATATAAATCAAGTTATTTTCCTTTTTTCAGCAAAACAAATTTTTTATATAAACAATTCAATGATCACACGGTGCAATTATCTTGTACATACCGTTGTATAAAATTAACATCTGAAAAAAAACTTATCACATTTGTTTCCAACGCTTATTAACGGCACACTTTGTAATATACAAATCCTGAATAAAGCAAGGAGAAGCAAGTTAATAAACACTCATTTTTATCAACAGCAACCGTTACGTTCACGAAGATAAATATTTCCTGCCGTATAACTGTGCCTTTTTCTCAAATCCCAGGGACTTGATAGGAGTGTTGAGCTTGTAAAATGGATTCATCGAATACTGAAACAGAGAAGCAATCGTAAGCGACTCTTTAATCAAGGTATTAACGCAACGTACAAGATTAATAGACAGTGAATAAGAGACCTATTTTGTAAATAGTGTAAACGACGACGTCTTAGCTTGGGCGCAGATATAACACATCATGGACTTTACGTTTACACACACACACACACACATTCAATCTTCCTTTTGTCTGTCCTACGTAAGACGCAGTACAATTTTCTCAAGATTGATTGTATGAAAGGTAGAACTAAAAGTTTTCTACTTGGAGTTGCGACAGTTTCACTGTCTTTGTCAGTCTCTCGTGTTTTTCTGTTACGTAAAACTCTTATTCTTTAATTTCTTTAAATACCAAAGGGAGACCTAAGGCCCGGTTCCACCAAATGTCGCCAAACTTTAATCTTAGTTTAATTCACGTTTGTCCTTTTCTGAAGTAACAGTTGGAAAGAGACAAAGAACGAATCAAGCCTAAAGTTAAGCGACATTGGTGAAACCTAAGGCCTGGTTCGTCACACAAGTTTAACTTTAGCTCAATTTATTCTTTGCCTCTTTCCGTTTCCCTCGGAAAGAAACAAAGGGTGAATTAGACTAAGGTAAAAGTTGAGCGGTGTTGGCGCGGCCAGGCCCAAGTCCGCAATGGCATAGAAAATGTATATCACCTTTATGTAGGTCTCGTACATCTCGTTGAAGAAGTTCTTGATCCCGTCCTCGTTCTTGCTGTCGTGCACCATGACGAATCGAATGTGGGTCGCGGTAACGAACGCGCTGACGAACCACTGGTTGAACTTGTCCACGACTTTCAGATGCATGTTCGTCGTTTTCCACGTGTGCTCGTCCACGAGGTCGAGCGCCGCGTGGGCGATGAATTGATTCAGATGCGAGTGGTCCTCCTTCTGTAACAAGAAGAGTAACAAGGGGCAGATCGACGACGAGGTCGGTTCCCGAGTCGTTCCCGAGTCGCGGGACTTAACCTCCAATACGAGCGAACCTTCGTGTCCTTGCCGGCATTGTTGAACTCTATCTCGAACAGCGGATTGTCGGCGTGGCCGACGATCGCGAAATAGTAATTCGCGGTCATCGCGAAACGGCGAAGAACGTCGCGACGTCACCGCGACACGCGACTTCCTCGCCACTGTCAAGTCGCTGTCCGTCGCGGCGCCGCCATATTGATTTCGAAACAGCGCGGGATTCGAAATTAAACAACAGTTGAAGAGATAAATCGAAGGGGGCAATTCTTTTTCTTAAGGTGGTTGTACCCTAAATTAAAAGTCTCAAAAATCTTTAAAAATTTGAAAAAAAAATAATTAATTCAAACATTGTAGCATGTCTGTGTTGAATCTCAAGTCGATCCGCCGTACAGATTCTGAGATGTTGCCGTTTAAGTTTTACGATTTTTAGTATCATTTAACATTACAGTAATGGCGACGGCGAACAAAAACTCACGAGTGGGTTGCAACGGATTTCGCTCTAGCAATTGAATCGGTCTCGAAACACGTACAAAAATCTGAGAAGAATTGCTTCAAACGGTTTCGAAGCACGTGCATTAATTTGGAGAACTTTGGCCATACGTCAGCGAAGTAATTTTAATCCAAAGTCTTGAGTTTCGCGAAATAAAGTAAAGATAGAAAGTAAAGAAAAAAAAAGATAGAAAGAGAAGAAAAACGCTTCGAAGCGTTTGCAACGGCAGCTTGTTGTTAGATGCTTTCCGCGATAATTCGTTACGCGTATAAGTTTTCTGCGAGATAACATTCGATTATATCGAGTACACTTCATCCTAAATTCCAAAATAAAATACGCGATTCCGTCTTTGATTACAGTGAACTGTTTTATCGTCACGCAAATGATAACATAGCTTTTTGACTTGAAGAGTGATAATTTTCGCTATCACTTTCTTACTTCGTATCTTAAAATACATAAGTACATAAGGTTTATCTATATTAGACGCTTCATTCGGCAAATTGCTATTTCCATTTGTCCGCGTCGTAATTAAATCTCTCTCTTATCAGACCCGATAGCGTCATACTTCGAGATTATCAGCCGTTTTTATCAAAGCGCGGCAGCGCATCGCGTTCTCGCGTCGCTGCCTACGTAATACACGCGAACGCTAATCATTTATTCATCGAGTGATTGCCGACCGCTGCCGCGAAATAACAGAGCGGAGAAGCCGAGGATAAACGCGCGCGCGGGCGCGCGGAAAAAAATTAAACCGTGCCGACGCGTATAATTTCAGAATAACCGGCGCGCAATAATCTCCGCGCGATAATTAAGCGATTGCGCGCGCGCCGGATGGCGTCGTATCGCGCCCATGGTGGCCGCCTTCCTCGCGATACGGGGCGGAATCGGGCGGCGCGCGTCGAGCGCGCGAGTCGGATTGAAAGATTGAAGACATGAGGACGACTCGGCGCGCACACGCGGATCCTTTCCAACCTGCACGTACGTACGCACCGCGTAGCGCGCGCGTGCGCTCAACGCGAAGGGGTGGGGGGCGTGGGCGGGGGAGGGAAGAGCGAGGAGGGGTCGCGCGCATCGCGCCGATTGTTATCGCCCGCTGAATGCTCGCGGATTCCTTTGTGCCCGTTCGCGCGCCGCTCGCGATAACGTTCGCGGGGCACGACGCCGTGGCTCGGGGGCATCTGCATGCGGGAGCCGCGGGGCCGCCGGGGCGAGGAGGGACGCAGCAGCTGCGGACACGTCGGCTCTCCCGTCGTATAATCTCGCGATTGATCGCGGACCCGATGGCGCGCGGTTCCGGAACTCCCGACGCGATAAACACGTTATCGCGATAACGCGCGCTTCTCGGAAGATCGACGAGGACGAGGACGTGGTGGAGGAGGAGGAGGAGGAGGAGGAGGAGGATCCGGATCCGGATCCGCCTGCCGGATTCTCAGGTGCTCGAGGCGCGTCGTCAAGGTTTTCCCCGATGAGCCGCGCGACTCACGCTGCTGCCAGGCGCGACGAGCATTCCCCGGCGCACCGTCGCCGGCTGGGCGATACACTCGGTTTGTGAATGAAAAGACCCTCCGCGTCGCTCGCGCGACGGCGGTGTCGGCCCGCGAATGTCCGTCGCGGCCGCGCGAGCACTCGCGCGGTCGCGCCCGCGGATCGGTGAACGCGGGCCACGAGCGAGTGTCTCGGTGGAACTTGCTCGACGAGAGGGCCGAGTAGACGAAAACTGATGACCGTCGCAAAGAAAGACGCTCGCGTTGCCGCGTCAGCTTCGCACAGCTCGTCCTTTTCTCGCCGACGTCACGTTCCACGGTGTCGGACGCGCGCGCTCGCCTCCCCCCGCTTTATCGCACGCGGCAGACGCTGCTCGTGTAATTGCGGCATTGCATAATAAATATAGTGGGCCGCGCGTTTGTTTTCTGTATTCGCACCTGGCCATTTGAGGCGTAAGCGGTGCATCCGTAATCAGCCTCACTTACTTGGAGATAACGCGGTATCGTAGCAGTACGCTGATGGCACTATCAGTAAAGTGACTAGTCCCGGGTCGCACCTGACATCGCGAGGACGTTTACGACCGGCTGTTTCTAGACACGTCCAGAGAAATGAGTGCATTCATTATTCAAAAGAGCTAACGTGTATTGCGGAGGTATAGCGTTGTCGCCGGGCGTCGTTTCCTTATCTTTTCCAGCTATTGTCCTTAAGGCTCGCTTTTACATTTCAGATCCAACCCTCTGAATCGGAAAGATCGCATTACATAAGACACCCTCGTATATGTAACTCACCTGGCAGTCTTCACCAAGTCCGCTTGACTAGAGACGGAGAGGGAAAAGATGCGCTCTGCGAAGATTGTCCATCTTATTGTAAATAACAAGTTTATTACGCGAGCTTAGAAATGGCCTTGAAGAGTTTATCGTGTTATCCAAACATCCTGTTGACTAGGTATGTATGTGAGGTGATTGAATGATAACGAGTTTTCTTTATCTCATGATGGACGAGTTGCGCAAAATTTCATCACAATTTTTTTTCCCCTTTAGATGATCGCCCGGTTTCTCGTACGATGCGAGAGCTCAGCGCCTGAACGTAGTGCGTGCCAAGGTTTGTCCGAATCTGACCGCTGGTTACCCTGTCACAGTTCATGATTGTGAGGTTCCCGGGAGAGAACTTTGGGTGCGCTATGTTCGGATGCTGGACTCTTATCCGCGTGAGAAACCGGGTGGTCATCGGAAAAGGAATTCAGGGTGAACTTTCGTGCGTGCGATCCATCTATCCAAAACTTACGTAAATTACATTTACATTGGAGCGGCTAGTTGATATAACAACATTAAGTTTCATGTCGTAAAGCAATCGGCTGTTACAGAAAGAGAAAGAGAGCTTGAAGAATTAATGCTACAATTGACGTTGCAATGATAACATAAAAATTGCAGTAGACTTTGTTCATCTGGTTATTTCTGTGATTGGTGACTGTAAACCTAACTATTCGATATCGATAAGAAGATGTTAATAGTTTTTCTGTTAGATAAGAATTTAATAAATACATTTTTACATACCGTAAGCTATTGTAGCACCTCGAGCATTCGCCGTCTATTCCATTTCACGTATCCAACATTTTTCTCCCTCTTTCTTTCCTGCTGATTACAAAATAAGTACACGTTTGTATATAACATTTTAGATTATATTTATAATCAGATGATGTTTTATGTAATATTTTAGAGTGCAGTAATAAGATATATCATGCATTTACGCAAGAAAAAATGAATACGAAGGAGACTGTAATTTATATTGAAGCATTTATAGCGTTATTCAGTTGAGTCACAATTTATATTACTTATCATGGTGCAGCAGCGACTTCCCAGTTTCGATAGTAAGTGTCTATTTAAGTTCCTACAAATAAATTTTGTCGGCCCGGTTCTGCCCGGTTCTACCCGGCTTGTGCGAGTCCACGATTTGTAGATGTGAAATTATAGCACTTAGAAAATACAGTAATCAGTTTTTTACACAGGTGGTCGAAGCGGGCGACGATTTGTACTGACACTCGCTGCTGGAATGATTTTTGGCTTTTTATCGGCATGTCTGCTCATCGCATCCTCGAGAGACGTACCGCACATATTCAGTTGGGTGCCAGGTAGTTCTAGTTTCTCTAGAGATCCTCATCATTATTCGGAACTGGAATCAGAGGTACGCAATGGTATATTTTATATCCAAGACTACAATATTTTTCAGAGATTGCTTGCGGCTAAGCCGATCAGTAAGGAAATTTGAAAAATATCTGTTTTCGGTTAAAGTATATGCAAGAAATACATAATTTCTTACAACTATTAGATGATTCTGAAACAACTTTTATATCTTATCGCTGAATTTTCTGACAGATTGGTCCCGAAACGGAAGTAAAATTTCATGGCGATGACGAGGACTTCCACAAAGGGGAAGATAGAATAGCTCAGGATATGGCGAGAAAAGTGCGTGTTCTTTGCTGGGTGATGACTGGTCCGAAGAACCACCAGAGCAAGGCTCGACACGTGAAAGCGACATGGGGGAAACGTTGCAACGTACTTCTTTTTATGAGTTCTGCGGCAGGTACCTCGAACGCCATAAAGACAAAGATTCCGATAGATAGATACGATGTACTCGTGCCGTTCATTTTTAGATACCAGCTTACCCACTGTAGTGCTGCCAGTGAAGGAGGGTAGAGATAATCTGTGGGCTAAAACCAAAGAAGCTTTCAAGTACGCTTACGAGAAGTACAAAGATAAAGCAGATTGGTTCATGAAAGCTGACGACGATACGTAAGTACATTTTTGCGATATCTACATACAGCGCAAGTATGATATGCATAGATATGATTTCATGATAAATTTTATCTTTCGCTATCGCAGTACGTAAGTGGCACAGATTTCTCTGGTTTTCGTTATCACTGTATCTTTTAATATTTGGTGTCGCACCAAAAAATATAATATATTCAACAGGCGGAAGGAACAAAATATAAATATCTGATAGAAAAGCTTGAGATTACTTTAAATGAATAATGCTGTCCGACAAGATCAAGAGTCGCTCTACTGTGCATACCGTACGTGTACACGACTGAAAGAATAATTTTTTGGATTTACGTGCCCCCAGATACGTGGTGGTGGAAAATCTACGATACATGCTGTCATCGTACAATCCAAATTCGTCATTATACTTCGGATGCAGATTTAAACCTTTCGTGAAACAAGGTTACATGAGCGGTGGCGCGGGATATGTACTTAGTAAGGAGGGCTTACGCAAATTTGTGGAAGAGGGCTTACCCGACAAGACCAAGTGCCGACCGGATAACGGCGGCGCGGAGGACGTGGAGATGGGGAAATGTCTCGAGAAGGTTGGCGTACGCGCGATGGATACCAGGGATCCTCACGGGCGCGGTAGATTCTTTCCGTTCGTGCCGGAGCACCATTTGATACCAAATCACGTAGACAAGAATTTCTGGTATTGGAAGTATATCTATTACGATACCAAGGATGGCTTGAACTGTTGTTCGGATAGTGCTGTTTCATTCCACTACGTGTCACCGAACATGATGTACGTTCTAGAGTATCTAATTTACCATTTGAGGCCGTACGGCATCAATCATAGTCTGGAGAGACCTTCTCCGGACCGACCGTCGACGTTGACCGAATACTAGTCCGTACACTGTCGTAAATAGATCGTAAGGTTCTATCATTCTCGTTTTATACAATGATACTAGTCCATTCGAGCCAACGATACAAGTGTAATTACTCTCAACGGATAAAAAGTGTGATATATCGTACTTCTTAAATAGATAAAATCTTTATACGTATCTATGTTAAAGTCAGGACACTGTGGCCATAATGGATATAGCTGTAGTTTAGAATAGAAAGGATAGGGAGATATAGTGCAAGCACAATAGATATGCGTCCTGGAGACTCTGAATTTCGTCGGTTTTTTTTAGAGCATTAAATTACATATTAAATGTGCAAAAGGTGAGATGTGATAATAACTTCTTAAGCATTTAAACTCCCAAATAAAATGTATGGACAGAACAAGTCTCATATTTTGTTGCCACGTTGTAGATGCCGTCGAAGATATTTATTTTCCTTTCTCTGCAAAACAACTGAATAAGAAAATACCTTTCATATTCCCAGTCATATTGTTAGCGTGCACGTAGACTAGCAGAATATCGGTGCACAAAGCTCGACATGTTTAATAGTAGGAGCAATCGCTTGGTGACTGAAACAAATCTAATTATTTGTACTTTGTTTTTTTTCTGATGTATCCACAGGAACAGGAGGTCTATCTTTCTCTATGTGTTTCTACTGTGCTTGCAATAAAATTTCTTGGGCGCTGCAAATATATAAAAGAGAGAAATCACATATGTAATTATATATATACACATAAAACTGTATTTCGTAATATTAATATAATAATGGTAATAATAATTTTAATAATAATAATAATCCCAATAATGACGTACTACCCAGTAATAAATACTATAGATACAGAGTGAGTGTGGGTGTGAGTAAATTAACCAATTAATTAGGGAGTTAGGGGTTCTATGTACAAGTCATATTTGTACTATGCGACTGACGCAATTGGCCACCGTGGCTCCACTCAGACGCGCCCCACATTTCTCTCTTCGTGTCTTTTCTTCTTTTTTTGCATTCAAAGTTAAATTGGAGGAAAACAATCTTTGCATAACTGGCTCGCGTTCTCTCCACATTCTCTCGCTCGCTCGCTCTCTCTCTCTCGCGCTTGCGCTCTTTCTCTCTCTCCCTTTCACTCTTGCGGTTATTTCCCTCTTTCATTCTCAATTATCTAATCTCGGCGATGTCTCACTTCATAAATTATTTAAAAACAATATTTTACACTATAATGTATGTATAATATATAGAGGTCACCTAATCCGAATAAAATTTGTCAAACAGCATCGAAAAATTGCGCTAACGGGTCCAGGAAACATGATAACAGCGACCCAGTGCCGCGCGAGCATAATATATTATAATCGTCATACTTATCTCACACCAGGGGCTTGTACGAGGCATCGCTTATAAAAAAGAAGTCCACCTCTCTTTTTTTTATATCATCTATATAAAATTAAAAAACAACGTAATATCATTTATATTACTTCGTCGTCATTAATAATAAAAGCTTTGTACAAAATTCAATTTACAATTAAAAAGTTTTGGTTACGTAATTTTTCTAGAGATTCTGATTTGTAATTCAACTATCTATCGATAGAGAGGCAATCGAAAATCATTTTCTTATTATGCACTCTCTTTTTCACCTCTTTCTCTCTCTCTTTCACTCGCTCGCTCTCTCGTTCTCGTTCGTTCGTCGTTCGTTCGCGCGTGCTCTCTATCCCTTTCGTACTTCCCTCTCGTTATCCTTTCATCCTCATTCTTTCCTGCCTTATTTTTCTTCCTTTCTCACAGTGTCTCTCATCGTTCGCATCTTCGCTTCTACCATTCGCAAAGTCTCACATTTGCTTTCGCTGGCAATGGTCGTATTGGATGCACAGTTCATTTTTCCTTACGAAATACGAGATACGATCATAAACACAAAGTACAATCTATTTCGCCTGTTATAATAGAAAAATGGTAAAGAGAGTCGCTGTTCGTTCTCATCGGATTCTGCATTTTTTTTTCAGCCGTTGCATTTTCATCGCGCTAACTTGTGTATTAATTAGAGTCCGAGTAAAAAAGGCTCGGTTCTCTTTACATATGGTCGAGAAGGATCGTACTCTGTACCTAGACAATCTCTTTCTCTCTAAGTACCTAACTAATGTAGTATAGGTAAAGGGCATAGGAAATCAGTTGCTCTCGTAAAGCCCCGAGTGACGATATAATAAGGAGTGCGTGAGAGAGGTGCATATACTGCACTACAACGGGAGAGGGTGTGGGTCAGACGAGAGCTGCCGTCGCATGGTAGAGATGCATGAGCGCCTGTACGTGCACTGGTAAGCAGGATAGTCGGTCCTTGGTATTTGCATCCAGCGCAAGCCACGACAGTGCGTTGTACCCTTCCAACACGTACCTGTCAATCACGGATATTGCAAATCGATAACAAATCTGCGATGCGATAAACATCGGGGGAGGAGGGAGGAGGAAAAATCACGAGTATCGTCGCGAATACGAACCTGAGTACGTCGGTGGTGTACTGCGAGTCCAATGGATGAGCAGTGGGTGCGTTTTGTTGCTGAAGTAAATCGTCGCTGTTCTGTTGTATCGCGGGACTGTGCAGGTGTAACGCGTTCTTCAGGAATACCGGGCAAACGTTCTCGAGATGCGGACAAGCCGCCCAAAACCATGGTGGCATTCGTCCCGTTGGCGCAGTCGATACTAGGTAACCGAGAGCGAGCGGTTGTTGTAGAAGCGTGCCAACCTCTTCCGCTTGCTCAGTCGTCGCTATCTGTAAATAACATAAATTTGCATGTAAATTTACATGGCTCTAGTACAGCCGTAAATTTCATTGGGGGGGAAAAAAACTTACTCTTGGCGTATTGCTGCACGGAAATGGACTACCGGGCCCATCATGATTGCCCATGCCTGATCCACCGCCGTCTCCTCCATGCGGCGAACCTTCCGGACGATGCGGGCTTCCACTTGGACTCTGCCCACCACCTGCGCCCGGCTCAGGCCAAACGTTGAAAATATCATTAAAGTCACCCATTCCCTCCATGCCTTCCGGCATGTCGTCGTTTAGAGCGGAAAACAATTCGTCGTCTCCTAACTCGGGTACGTTGTGCTGCTCTTGAAACGCGGTCTGCGACGACTAAAGTGTCAAAACAGCAGTATTTAGTTTGATTGTATCCGTGAAATAATATAATGGGGTTTATGTATACACAATTAAATTTCCTTACCTGAGTGGTAGCGGATGTGGGGAAAACAAGTATATGAGTACATGTGACATCTTGAGGTGTGGATAACTGGCAGTTTACAGACGCCTGGCTGAATCTTTCGTCGGGAGTGAACTGGTCGGCCATTAATCTCAGGGTGGAGTCTGGCTCGAGTGAAACTAAACACGCGCTGAGTACGCAAGGTGCCGCCGATGGATACAAGAGACTACACTGTCCGCATATCTCTTTCAGATGCTTCGAAGCTTTCAGAAGTGCTTTTCTAGAAAGTAACCAACTCCATCCTTTCAATTCGCCATGTCCAATGCGTCCTACTCGACCCACGACCAATCTCCATGGCTGCACCTGCAGTAGAAATAATTTTGAATGAGAAAGTGTTTTTAATGCGAGTAAAAATTACGAATCGCGAGTTTTCGTATGTATTTGTAGTAACAAGTATTTCAGGCATCGTTGACTTTAATTTATTGTAACTTTACTGTAAATCTTTTACTTACACCCTGGGACATTACGCCCAATATGAAGTCCATGAGCTTTTGAAGGCCAATGCGCCTAGCCGAGGCACGCTTTCTTCTTTTCCTGTTGGGTATGTCGATGTTAATAGTAGCGGTCTCGAAAATTTCGCCTCTGTCATCGGTCGCAGCCGCCAATAGCCAGGATTGGTCCTCGCTCAAACAGTAACTCAGATACAAAACCGCGCATTCCTCGGGTCTGGGCAAACCGAATGATTCGGGTGCTTCGCTCTTTGCACGCAGCGGTGCTAGCACAAATGCTGGTGCATAGAGCCGATAAGGCGCTCTATTCCGTTCCTGGTACATAATTATAAGAACATTACTAAAGAAATGAAAACAATTTATATATCGCAGCGCGCAAACGGAACTCTAATCACAACCACGTTCAAGCAATTGACCTAACAATGGAATCTTACATCTTTACTTTTGAGGAAGATATCCGCAGCAGCGGCGGTACCGAAACCGGTGAGACTTTTCACTGTAGAATTGTGATTCAATAGTCGACGCCCTTGCAAGAAGACGTTTAACGCCAAGGCTCTCATCTCGTCTTGAATCTTTCGCCTTTCTCGAGCTCGACCCAGCTCCATTATGCTTTCCAAGGATATTACCTAAAAGCGTGTTAATCGCAGTTGTCAAAACGTTGCACAATGTAGAACACTACGACCAGATGAGTTTTTAAAACTGTACTTCATCGTCAAAATCCTGTACCAGAACTTCGGTTATTACCTGAACGTGAATATTTGACCTCATATTCTCGGGCATGCTATTGATTGCGGAAGAGTAAGCTCTGAGTAGAGCCAGAATGGCGAGCCGCCGTCGATCGGGATCCTCGGTGCCGCCTAACGAGAAAGGTTCGACAAAGTAGACAACAATGGCCGGAGGTTCGATCTCCTCCTCGTCCGGGCCTGTGGTCGTAGTAATCGGTGTCGTGTTGCTTGTAGTTTGCGAGGTCGGTGTCGTATTTCCGGTTGTATTAGTGGTGGTCTGATTCGTCGCTGTGCTCGAAGAGGGAGTCTCGCTCCTCGGATTCTCCCCTTCTGCAAAAGGCAACGAATATCGTTAGATCCATATCCGAGGCCACGTATTGCTAAAACTGTATCGTCGAAGTGCGATCGATGAGACATACCGACAGACTCGGGTTTGGTCGTCAATACATCGGGTGTAGCCGGCATCGTATCGGGAACGGGAATCGTTGTGGATTGCTGTTGCTGCTGTTTGTTGGCCGATTGAGACTCACCGGGATCCAACAAACTGCGGTCTTGTATGACTTGCGTCAGATACGGGGCCAATCGATGATTACACACTTGGGCATATAATCTCAACAGTTCACCTATATAATTCTCCCCCAAAAACTTGAACCAATCGTCCACTGGTTGCTTCGCCAGTTTCTGCACGGTCGACTTCCCGACGCGCAGAATTCCATCGCGCAGTTGCTTCGAGATTGGCGTGTGTCTTCCCAGTCGGCAAATCTGCGACGAATTAAAAATCGACATCTTAAACTATGACATTCCCTTAAATCGGGGACAAAATCAATGGAGCGAACCGCGCGAGAATTAAAAATTAGACACGTCAATACAGAAATAAAAACAATTCTAAAATGTAGTTTGGTGAATAAATTTTAGTAAAACAGACAAATTTTAGCACCACTGAAGCTCTCCCGAGCGTTTCAGTGTTAAAGTAAAATTATTTGTATAAAATATATATATATAAACAATACTCGCG